CATGCGCTCTTCGGTTGTCTTGTGTACAATCGAAGATACACACATCACACTCTGAATAATATATATCATATATATATATATATATTATATAATATATATTATTATATTAAGCTAAATAAAGTTTTGCTAAATTATCTTTTTATGTTTTTTGTTTTTTTTAAATAACGTACTTGTCCACAAACAATAAAAGACAAAATCATTCCGTAATAATCCACCAGAGAGCGCTGTCGAACTAAAAGTTACGTCGTTTCCATTGAGTTCACCACATTTCTGCAAGATTTCCAACCATGCGCTCTTCGGTTGTCTTGTGTACAATCGAAGATACACACATCACACTCTGAATAATATATATCATATATATATATATATATTATATAATATATATTATTATATTAAGCTAAATAAAGTTTTGCTAAATTATCTTTTTATGTTTTTTGTTTTTTTTAAATAACGTACTTGTCCACAAACAATAAAAGACAAAATCATTCCGTAATAATCCACCAGAGAGCGCTGTCGAACTAAAAGTTACGTCGTTTCCATTGAGTTCACCACATTTCTGCAAGATTTCCAACCATGCGCTCTTCAGTTGTCTTGTGTACAATCGAAGATACTCACATCACAGTCTGAATAAAGCGCTTTTACTGCAAGTTTTTAATTGATGATAAAGCATGTTATATTATTCAATATGATACTGACACAAAGCTAAAAGGGCATCGTTATTGTTATCATTTATTTTATGACGTTTGTCAATTTCCACGTGTGTTATTATATTAATAAAATAAAAATTGTTCTATTTGTTGTAATTTTTTTCATTATACAATATCTATAATTAATAATATTATTATTTGTGATAGCTCATAAAAAACCTCCATTATGTCTGTTTGCTGTTTAAAGTGTCCTGTTTTTATTCAACCCTTTAGTTTGATTATTGTACAAAACCTTAACCAAGTTTAATAGCTGACATTTTATTTCTCAGTTTGCGGTTGATAGTGGCCGATTAATAAGCTATAACATTTTTAATATACAGACCTATAATATTTGAGTGTGGCATGTTTATTTTATATACAGTGTTTCGCAAATATAAGTACACCCCCACAAATCTATCTTTTAAATTCATTTTTTTATATGAAGCTATAATATTATATTTGTGCATATACATTAGATTAGTCAGCACTGAAGCCAAATCTGGAGCTTATGTAACAAAAAAACTTACGACAACGGTAAAAAAAACTAGTAAACCCATAGTTAGGCCTATATGTTGTGGAAAAATATTAAATATAGGAAAAGTCAAGAGAAGCAAAAAGCAAAAAAATATATAAACAATTTTGTTGAAATGTTATTGTTGTATTTTTTTATATATTTAGCTTGGATTTAATTGTATCATCTTTCATTTCTAAATATGTTTGGTGACTAAAATATTATTTGAATAAATATCCGTTTAATCTGTCGTTTAAATGCACCAAAAATACATTGAGAAATTGATAAAATATTCATTTTTAAAATAGCGTGTTCTCATGCTCTTCTACTTTATATGATAGGCTATATTCTGGGTTAAATTATAGGCTATATATTTTATTTATAGAATCAATGTAACTTTTTTCTGTCAGTTTGCTGTTGATTGTGCCCTTTTATTCACACAAGCGGATCTTTTAGCCCTAATTGAAGGCTCTAATGGATGTGAGCCACCGGCAAGCTAAATGCATTACAATGCGGCGTTTCCGTCTCTTTTGTGCTCAGGCAGATCCCCACGGGCACCGCTAAACACCCATCGCACAGAAGCCGCTCCTCAAACGCCCATGGGCCCCCGCCAACATACAATGACACTTGTTTGCACTGCGCAACAGGCGGAGAGGCAAAAAGTCGAGCTCCTAGACACAGCACTGCGCATGCGCTGCCTGACGGGTGGGCTTCCACTACCCCCTGAATGAAGGAGAGTTGTCAGTGGGTCGTTCTCAGTCTATCAATGCCAAATGTGCGCTGCCGGTCTGCTTGAGATGTTGACAGCTGACTTCGCGCACTCTTCTGGAAATGAGTTGTTGCAGTCGAGTGCTCACTTGAATATTAATGAGCCGAACCTCCCAAAAACTTCTACAGAAAGTCGCATGATATGGATTAATGTGGAAAAACTTCCTTGACTGGTTTGTAAAAACGAGAGGAAACGAACGTGTGGATTACAAGTGAAGTCAGTGTTTGTTGTTCACTATATATCTCAAGGGAAGACATTTGAGCAGAGGCGACATGAGGATGCAAAGTTTCTCCCAGGAATATGGAATATTCTGAATTCATGCTTCATGTGCTCGAAAACTCATCCCGCATGGCTTTTATGCGTTTTCACATTTGTCAATCCGAAACAAAGCTACTGGAAGTCTTGTGACGGCTGGGATAAACAGTGGATACTTGTCTGGAGCCATTCTACTGGATCTATTGAATTATCCTCGGAATTTCTCTGCCCAATGACATTGCCAAAGTTGTTAGTTGGGTTCCTTTTTATAGCGTCTCCTCATTCTATTAGATTTATTTACCGAGCCATTAACTTATCTGGTCTAGACCAAAACCTGAGGTATTTTAGTGGTTTGTGACACGATGCGGGGATGCACGGGATTCCCGATGGCCGTCACGGTGGTGTTGACACTTTTGACCGTCATGAACGTGAAGGCGAGCGGAGAGTATTGTCACGGGTGGCATGATGCCCAGGGCGTGTGGAAAGACGGCTTTCAGTGCCCGGAGCGCTTCGACACCCCCGATGCCATCATCTGCTGTGGGAAATGCGAGCTCAGATACTGCTGCTCCAGCACAGAAGCTCGGCTGGACCAGGGCACATGTGATAACGACAAGCAGACACAAGAAACCAACACTGGCAGCAAGGACGACAAAAACTCTGGAGCAGGTAAGCTGGAGTAGGCTACAATGCGCTGTTTTCTGCTACAGCCACTGCCTCTGTCTGAAACAAATTAGGCAATTACTGTGTAATCGAATTGTACAGCGGTTAAGTTTAAATGGTTTAATTCAATAACTTGTAGAGCAGCAGCAGTGTGTAACATATATCGACCCAGTTGTTTGCCTCAGGCTTTTGTGAAGAAAAAAAACAAACAACAGAAAGTTGGGTTGAATTTCGTCTAAATGAGGTTACAAAACCCCATAAGGGTCATTTTGTTTGTCTGTTTGTTTACAAGACCCGATATAAGATTGTTTAGATTCCACTATTCTTCTACAAATGAAGCCTCTTTTAGTGACTCACTTTCGAATCAGTGAGTAGTTGTTAAATAATCGACTCAAACAATGGAGTATACAATTATTTTCAACTACACTGTAAGAAATATCCATAAGTTAACAGTTTTCCGTATTTTGATGTTTTTATTTTATTATTTATGCTTTCGAATTACATTATGAAACCTTGATCTTTCTTCTGACAACTTTTATTCTTAAAAAGTTGGAAAAGTGACTTTTATTGACATTTTTAATAGTTTACTGTGATGTATTGTCTGGGATGGTGTTGTATAGTATGCTGTAAATCTCTGGTAATAAACTGTCAGTATATTTTCTGTTATTTTACAGAGTTATTTCTCTCTATATTATTCCTTATACATTATATTATTTTAAACTATTAAAATGTCAATAATTGTCAGAAATCATCCCATAATGCAATTCACAATCATAAATATATTATGGTATGGTTGGTTTTATATTAACACATTAATTCCGTGACAAGCTGTGACATGGTCCCTATGTTGTTTACCATGGTACTTTGAATATTCAATAGTCTGAAATCCTATGCAATTATTATTTGAAAACAATATTAGCACTATTTAATTGACTGTGAACAAAGTTGTACCTTGATAGTCATTAGCTTCTAATATTAAACTACTATGATTTTACTGCTTAGAATTTGCTAAGAATATTTTTGTGAAATTAAATTATTAAGGAGAAAGTCAGAATGTGCTAATATAAAACCAACTTGACCTCAATGTAGTGGACACTTTAGTGAGTGGCTTTAAAAAGATGCACATTTTGAATTTGTTGCTGTATATTGTAATTTTTTATATAACAAGTATGCCTACTGGCCTAGCTTGCAAATATAAACCCATTTAAATCTGCATCATTTCCCTTCGTCATTGTGTTTAAAGTTCTGCTAAATTCTGAAGTTGGGTTAGGCTTCATGCCCAAATTAGGCTACAAAAACTCCCAAGTTTATTGTTGTTGGGTTGTTCAGCTCTTGTTGTGAATCACGTCTGACTAATTCTACTGGTTACTGAGATAGTTGGACTTACTGTCTGACCAGCTAGTCTATTTTGACAATGACAGTTCTGCCATCTCAGACTCTAAATGACCCACACTGTGTGGGTGAACAGAAAAAAAAGATACGTTTTATTAAAATAACTAATATTAAATGCAAGTAAATATTGACCCTCTTAATTCTGAGTGTTCCTACATACATTGTGATTTATTAGTTTAAAAAAATAATTGATGTGGTATAAAAAAAAATCCCAAACAAATGATGAACAGGGTCTTTTCTTGAATCTAAATCAGGATCAAACAGCAAGTTGATCATTTCCACATTTCCAATTTGAAATGAACCACATATTGGGTGTAGTTAAATATGCAAATTATGAGCTTGTTTCAATAAATAAGTACATATCAGCTCGAATAAATCGGTCTTCCTTCCCTCAGGCATTGTACATAAATGCTCCACTAAATGAAAAAGCTGGGTTAAGCTATAGTGCCCAAAGCAGGTTACAAAAATGCTTAAGTTTCTTGTTGTGTGGTTGTTTATTTTCAAGGATCAGTTTAAGCCTCTCATTTACATTCAGTTCTTACTGAATTAATTATTCTAGGGAACAGGATGTTTTACTGAATCACCTTTAAATCATTTGGAGTAGTTAACTAAATTAATCAGAATTCACTGACTAAACAGTGAGCTGATCATTTCTTCATTTCCAGCTCAAAATAAACCACTTATTTAGTAGATATTATTAAGCATATTTATGGCTTTTGTTGCAAGAAGGGGATTTTATAATTCTCTTACCCCTCATTTCTATCTACTGTTAAAAAACACAAAAAATATATTTTGAAAAATGTTGAAAACCAGCAGTTATTTACATCCAGTGTGTTTTTCGCATACTGTTAAAAAACAAAAGATATTTTGAAGAATGTTATTAACCAGTAGCTATTTACAGCCATAGTGTATGTTTTCCTATCTACTATTAAAACAAAAAAATATATATATTGAAGAATAAACCTGTACAATGTGGATGTTTTCATAAAGTGCTGTTCTATTTGTACTAAATTCAATTTTAAATAAATTGACTTAAATGTATGTGTATATATATATATATATATATATATATATATATATATATATATATATATGTGTGTGTGTGTGTGTGTGTGTGTGTGTATATATATATATATATATATATATATATATATATATATATATAGATATATATAGATATTTTTTTTTATTTACTGTGTTTGTGGCATACACATTTTGAATTACATACAAGTTATATGTCTGGCTTCCTCAAAAGTACTGAAAGAATCAGTTACTGGAATCATTGAAATATGAATCATTCAGTTTCTTGCGGTTTTCATCTGAAAGTATAAGGGTTAAATGTCATTGCTATCCAGGTTTTGACAGCTGCAGTTAAATTAGCATCCAAATTGGCACCCAACCGTCCACTCACTCACAAATGGCAAATTGTACCGGGCACAGATATAAATAGCTGCTGTTTGTCCAAGCACAGTAAAGCATGCGCTCCGCCAGAAATTAGTGCGCGCAAACTCCAGTCGTCCGGTTACCCACGAAGATCAAGTTCAGACTTGACCGGATCCTTGTTGTGATGTGCTGACAGCCTCGTTCATAAAATAAGCCTCAATACTGCATCATTTCCTCTGCCTTTGTGCAAGTTCAAAAACCTTTAATTCTACTGGAGTCTCTTCAGCTGAACTGGAAGAAATGTGGGAACACCGGAGCAAGCAGTCACAATTCTTATTCCAGTTAGTAAATATTTCCTAAGAGGAGTTTTAATATTTCAGTTTCTAATAGGCACATACTTACACAACTCTAAAAATGTATCAGTCTTTTCAAAATGTTACTAAGCCATAAGGTTATTTAACAAATATGAGATAAGTTGTCACAATGAATGTTAATCTCCTTTATATACCTGTCAAATAGTATATGATGGTTATTAATGATATACCCTCTGAGCTTAAGAAATAATTAGAAAATTATATAGTTCAAAATACAAACTTAGGTTTTATTTTTAAATTGGAAGGTATAAATATATGTTTAAATAATGTCATCTTAGAATGATTTGCTGGACTGTCAGTGTTCCTTTAGCCATTGGTTTTTGGAGAACATAATTTCAAAATGTCAACTGACAAATAAAATTAGAGAGGTATCATTTAAAATTGTTCATCGTATTTATCCTATAAAACAGGTAATTGCAAAATTTTGTAAAGATGTTGATTTAAAATGTGCTTTTTGTAATAATAAAGATATCTTCTTTATTGTTCATTTATTTTATGATTGTATTTTATACACAATTGTTTTGGTGTGATCTTTTTTTTTTTTGCTAAGCAAAGTATAGATATTGCATTGGAATTTAAAGAAAAAAGATGTTTTATTTTTTAAGAGAATACAGTCCACTTCAAAATGTGGTATTTTGTTAATTTGCTCGTTATATGTGGATTTTTTTATTCATAAATGTAAATGGGCAGTGAAATAGAAATAGGTCATTATGTACGATAAACAAAACAAAAAACACCAAAGCAAAAAGAACTGTTAGTTATCTTAAAGCCTTAAATCTTGTCTTTGAATAATTGTAATTTCTTTTCTTTCTTTCCTTTTTATTGTTTTTATTTTGATGTCAATTTAATGTTATTTTATTGCCCTTGTATGTTCTGTGTTCTAAAATTGCAATTAAAATAAAATAAAAATAAAAGTTAATCTCCCATTAACAACATTGGAAAAGTAAAACAGTTAATGCATATGGCAACAAACATATTAATTGCAAAATACATTTCTATTTTTAATGTTTCCAAATAATTGAAAATAATAATAATATGTAGAAGTATGGCTTAAATATGGTGATTTAGTGTAATATTTACATATTTAGCTAAAAATGAAACCGTATTTGTACTGACCTGCTCGCATTATAAATAACGACTTTTATTATGAATGATTAAAACAAATGAATAAAACACATTTAAATTAATTTCAAACTATCATTCTAATAAAATGGCATTAAACTATTCCTGTTCTAAATATGGCTGACAATGTTTTAAAAGGTTTTCAGACACTTCTAATGATGAAAATCTGAAAAGCTAAAGGAAATGGTGGTCTGCTGCAGCATGTGGGCATGAGCTTTGACAGAGCCTGTCTGGCAGTTGAAGACTTGGCTCCATTTGGACAATAATGCAACAGGTGTGAATTCATGTTAAGGGGCCCCAAACCTTTTAAGGACATGAAAGGGGGGCCTTGCTATCATCCAGGATTGGCAGTGAACTTCACTGTTACATTTACTAAGTCCATTAGTAACATTCTTGATTCGTGTACAATGAAAATATAGTAGCTCAAAAGTTTATGTTATTTTATCTAATGTGTTCGATTGAACGGGCATGTTCACTTCTTGTTCGGTTCTCTTGGTTCATTTGGCCTGTAGTCAAAAAGAATATGATAAATTTAGTCCCATTACATCCTGTAATGTATACATATTTCAGCCAAACAGCACTTGAGTTTATTTAAAGTTAACTTAGACCCATATTTGGGCGGCACGGTGGCTCAGTGGGTGACACTGTCGCCTCACAGCAAAATGATCGCTGGTTTGAATCCCAGCTGGGCCAGTTGGAGTTTTCATGTTCTCATCGTGTTTGCGTGGGTTTCCT